GTACCATGCTAAATGTTAAATGATGGTTTTGTTTGTTTTTTGGAGAAAGGGTATATCCATATGATTTTGTTGCCTGTCCTGGATCTCACTCTGTAGACCAGGCTGGCCTCGAACTCACAGCGATCCGCCTGGCTCTGCCTCCCAAGTGGTAGATTAAAGGTGTGCGCCGCCACCACCTTTTAAATCTGTATCATCACGAAGAAATTTCTGAGGCTGGGGATGAGGTTCAGTTGGCGGACTGCTTATCTAACATCCAAGAAGCCCAGAATCTGATCTTCAACTCCACAAATGCCCAAGGTATGAAAGCATATCACACTGGGCAGGTGGAAGCAGGAGGATCAAAAGTTGAAGGTCATCCTTAGATGCCAAAGGAGTTTGACGTCAGACTAAGATACATACATGAAACCTTGCCTCAATAAATATTAAATTAAATAGAAACAGCTGGACTAATATGCACCTTTAATCCCAATACTTGTTGGGAGGCAGAGACAGGCCTGTCTGTGAGTTCGAGGCCAGTCTGGTTTCAGAACAGAGAGCTACATAGTGAGATCTTGTCTAGGAGGAAAAAAGATTTTTCTGAGGATTTTCAGAACCACTGTCTTATATGAGACAAGCAAGGCAAATACTGACATCTGCTTTTTTATTTTAAATGATTTTTTTTGGGGGGGGGGAGGATCTCCTAGGGGCCCAACCTGACTCCATGGCTCCTTATGTAGCTGAGGACAAGCTTGAAATTTGGATCCTCCTGCCTCTGCTTCCCAAAGGCTAGGATGACAGGAATGCACGTCCATGTCGTTTCTGGATCATTTTTTAAAGTGAGAGAACACTTTCTCATTTGCCTAGGGTTACCACTAATGTGCCAATCAGAGACAAAACCCTAACAGAGTCCTTGGAGTGGGATCTATTACATCCTGATTAATACATGGCTTGGGTTTTCCTTAACGTTTTAATTATTTGGAGCTGGCTGGAAAGATGATGTGGCATTTAAGACTGTACACTGCTCTTGTAGAGAACCAGAGTTCAGTTTCCAGAGCCCATGCTGGGCAGCTCACAACTGACTGTAACTCCTGCCTCGCAGGATCAAATACCCTCTTCTGCCCTCTGTGGACACTGCACACAGCTGTACATACACACACATAATAAAACCAGGTTTTTTAAAAAAGCATTAAAGATTTAAGTGTCACATTTATCGTCTTTAAGTGTTTAATCACTAATCCAAAGGCATTTCTCTTACCCTCCCAGCTCATCATGGCACACAGTACAGTACCACACACACAGTGTTTGACAAATATCCATGTTGGCAGTGAAGAAACGGTCACACCCGTGACAGTCACTGGAAGGAAGGACTAGACAACCAGGCATAGTAGAAAGCAGAATCTGTCCTTCTTTATGGATGACCTTCAAATACCTTGACTAAAGTAGTACATACCCAAGCACCAGGCAGTCCAAGTAATCAGAAATTCAGCTCCCAATCCCCAGCCTAGAGATTCACTCAGACATGAGCACAAGAACACAGAGCAAGGACACCTATCAATCAGTAACAAGGAAAGCAATTCACACCAAGTCTGATATTCCATACGGAGGGTTAATGCATAAAAGATGGTACTATGACCTGCAGGTGATGGAAAACTTTGGGTAAAATATGTGTCACTGTAAGTCAATCTCACAAATACAACACTAAGGAAAAAGCCTGTCAGAAACACCCTCAGAGGTGCTACACGTATAAATTTAAAAATATGCAAAAAGGAGCTAGAGAGATGGCTTGGCTATTAAGAGGTCTTGCTGCTGAGGACCTGAGTTCAGTTCCCCAACACCCATGTCAGGCAGCTCACAAATGCCTGTAACTCTACTTCCAGGGGACCTGATGCCATCTTCTGGCCTCCATGGGCACTGCACTTATGAGCACAGACACAGAAACACATATACACATCATTTTTATTTGTTTTTGTTTTTTCGAGACAGGGTTTCTCTGTGTAGCTTTGCGCCGTTCCTGGATCTCGCTCTGTAGACCAGGCTGGCCTCGAACTCACAAAGATCCGCCTGCCTCTGCCTCCTGAGTGCTGGGATTAAAGGCGTGCGCCACCACCGCCTGGCACACATCATTTTTAAAATATAAATCAAACCTTTTAAAAATATGCAAAAGGAAATATTTTCAAAGATATATATGTGTGTGTGTGTGTGTACATAATAAAGTATTTTAGAAAGCAAAACAGTATTAAACAGCAACGTTAGGATAGTGCCAGCACATATGGGGGAAGAAAAAGGCACAGTGCTAGAAAGAGGCCAAGAGGCCTTTGCAGCTGCAGATGTTCAGCTGAAGCATTTGTACACAGACATTTGTCTTGCTACTAAATTTATTTGCACTGTGTATTCTTATTCGTATATACATTTCATAGCTTAAAAATAAATCACCAGTGCTGGAGAGATGGTTAAGAATGCTTGCTTGGACATCACAAAAAATCAGAGTTCACAAGTCCACACACACATAATCAGTCAGGTGTCCTGCAAATGTCTGGGACTCTAGCTCCAATAGGGCTGATGCCTTCCTCCGGTCTCCACACTTAAGAATGCAAACGCCACACACAGATAAATAATAAGCCTTTCAAAAAACATACCAAGACTCAATTTCACCTGGCATCACAGGATAATAGACTGACAAGAGAAAAGTAAAAAAATTCCTGTATCACAGAAAAAGGCAAAAATATAAGCAAAAAGCCAAAAGGTTTTACAACTGCCCATATCAGCCACATGTACCGTATGGTCTGTTGGTAAGAAAGAGTCCCCTTGGTAAAAATGTCACTTTGATTATTGTGATGTCAAGATTTCATTGCAGTATCTTCAGTCACTAGTACAACCCTCATTTCCTGTTTTTAATTATTTTTGAGACAGGGTCTCCCAACGTTAGTACAGGCTGGCTTCGGACTCTCAATACCCCAGCCTCAGCTTTCAGAGTGCAAGGATTACAGGCATGTGTCAACAGGCCAGACTCAATTGCCATTTCTTGAAAAGAAAAAAAAATGTTATGCAATGTAACAATAGATTCTTTTTTTAAAGCAGTTTCATTAAAAATTATCTATTTGTTCGTGTGTGTCTATGTGAGTTTACGTATACACATATGTGCAGATACACACACAGAGTGGTTGTCCTCCTCTGTCACTCCCACCTGCTTCTTTAAGGCACAGTCTCCTCCCTAGCCCAGGCCTCATAGTTTCTCTGGTAGGCTTCCAGCAATCGGAGGCGATCCTCCTGGCTCCACTCCCCTCTGAGCAGGGGTTACTGGCACTCGCAGGACACCTGGTCTGCCATCCTGGTTCTGAGATCTAGACTCCACATCTCACGATTGTACAGCTGGCACTTTTAACCACTAAGCCGTTTCTCCAGCCCTCAAAAATTCAGTTTCTTTGTTAGTTAAAAAAGTGATTCCGGGGGGTAAAGAGATGGCTCAGAGGTTAAGACCACTGAATGCTCTTCCAGAGGACCTGGGTTCAATTCCCAGCACCCATATGGTAGCTCAAAACTGTAACTCCAGTTCCACAGGAAAACACCAATGTACATAAAAAAATTAAAAATTAAAAAAAACAAGAGTGATTCAGATCATTTCATTCCTCTTTTGGTGTTTATACTAGATAACCAAAAAAGACTGGATACTTAACAGTATGTTTTATGTGTTCAGGTTTGATTCTGTGTGCTGAAAGCTCATGTGCAAAATTGATCTTTCACACCACTGTTCAGAGTTGGGATGTGACTGGACCACGAGAGCACTGATCTCATCAACAGATTCATTTATATATTCACAGCTAAATGGGACTCCATTACGAAAGTGACACCCTCCCACCCGCACCCTGCCACCACAAAGGTGAGCAGTTCTGTTTTAGCACACATTTCTCCTGTGATGCTATGTCTCCTCACAGGCCCCCATGCAGTCCTAAGTGCCCACGGACTAAAATCCTTAAAAGCATGAGCCAAGTAAGTCTTTACTCCTTCAGATGGATTTCTCAGTTATAAATGTAAGCCCGGTGGGGGAAGGTTTGAAAATGCGTCCTAAAGAGGGAAAAGCAGGAAGATTACAGAGCTTCCAGGTGTTTTTCAGGAAGGCAGGAGGCAGAATGATCATTTAATAAAGATGACACCAGGCTGAGCACGGAGATTCAGGCCCGTAATCCCAGCACTTAAACAGGAAAGTCACTGCAAGTTCACGGCTAGCCTGACCTACACAGTGAGTTCCAGGACAGCTGGGGATACTGACGGAGACCCTGTCTCAAACAACAAAAGCACTACAGATTGGCTCTGCTCTGGCCTTTGTGAATGATGCTCATCCCCGCAGTGTGGAAAGGCTTGTGAGTGAGTCGGGATAAGAGAATGGATGGACATTGAAACAGAACACAGGTAACCTCAAGAAAAGGTTGCCTTACACATGAGGACCTGAGTTTTGATTCCCAGTACCAGCATAAAATGATGGGTATAGTGGTATACACTTATAATCCCAGCACTGGGAGATAGGAGGTGGAGCTAGGCAGGTTCCAGGACACTCTGGGGTATAGCCAGCTTTGCCGACCTAGCAAAGCTCAAAACCAATGTGACCCTGTCTCAAAACAAAAGCTGTGAGTCTCCTGAGGAATGACACTGGAGGTTGTTCTCTGAACCCCACTGAACCCGGTGGGACACACACACGCACACACAAACGGGGATGGGGTGGTGGGGGGATACAACACTGTGGTTAATACACCCAAGTGCAGACATTCTAAGATTCAGAGGACATGGCACGGAAAACAAGAGGGCCTCCCCTCCTCCATCTTCTGTCACAGAGGCTTTGAGGGAAACTAAAGTCTTGACAACCAGGAGAGGTGAAAGGGAACCGAACAGAATGGAAGGATCAACTCCAGGCACCTCCATAAGCAGCCCTTCTGTCTCCCGACCCCAGGCTCCCAAACCCTCCTCCCACTCTCCTGAAGGCCACCCTCGAAGCATCCTTCACACTCATGCAGTGTAACTCCACTTACCAAACGGTTTTCATCAAACACTTCGAACAGAAGACGGTGCTGCTGTGGAAGGACCTAAGAGAAACAACCTTTCTTTAAAAACATGAACATCTAGCCACAGACGCCAAGAAACATCTGCAAAATGTGGCCACGTGTTGACCCGCTATGCAGTGAAATTACACAAAGAGGCCAGACTCACGCCACCCATGGTCTCCTGAGTTCAAACACTTTTTGTTGTTGCAACAATATGTAGACTTTTTCAAAGCTACTATCTTCCATTTTTGCTGAAATATTTCCGTAGTTAAAAAATCTACTTAATACCAAATATAAACGAAACGATTTTGTTAAATATACCAGAGGTTGAAGATGTTACAAAAAAATACATTTAAGAAGAGCATGATGCTACATGCCTTTAGCTCCAACACTCTGGAGTCAGAGGCATGCAGATCTCTGTGAGTTCTAGACCAGTCTGCTATACAGAATGGGTCCCAGACCAGGCAGGGCTACCCAGTGAGACCCTGTCTCAAAAGGCAAACAAAAAAATATATTTAGGAAGGAGTTCAGTGGATATAGTATTCACTATGCAAGCATGAAGTCCCAGGCACGATACACATATTAGGATTGCCTTCGTAGGGCATGATGACACTCACAGTGGGCTGGATCTTCCTACATCAATTAATAATCAAGACAATCCCACAGACATGCCAACAAGCCAGCTCAATCTAGATAGTCTTTCATTGAGACTCTCTTCCCAAGTGATTTTACATTGTATTTGAGGGTCGGGAAGCTCAGAGACAAGGTTTCTCTGTGAATCCTTGGGTATTCTAGAACTCACTCTGTAGCCCAGGCTGGCCTCAAACTCAGTGATCTGCCTGCCTTTGCCTCCAGAGGGATTTAAAGGTGTGTGCCACCACTGTCTAGCAGACTTTACATTGTATTCAAAGATAACCATCACATCAGTCAAAGAAAGTATTGATATGAAGGGGGAGGCTCTTCTTCAAATAAGAGTGCTTCCTGTTCCATCCTAACCTCTGAACGGTCACACATCTACACACACACACACACACACACACACACACACACACACACACACACACACACGAATGTGGTGATATATTGCGTCCCCCAAAATATTGTGCACAATTGAAGCTTATGTGAGGATCAGAAGAAAAAGCTAGGCAGGGATCCGTCTGGATCTCTGTGAGTTCAAGGCCACACTGGGAACGGAGCCAGGCGTGGTAGTACATACCTTTAATCCCAGCACTAACCATAAAGGTCTGGAGATCTGTACAGACAGAAAGGAATTGACAGAGGTGGACAGGAAAAGAAGTTATGTAGCTGGATGGAGAGAAGAAATGAGGTGGCAGAACAGAAAGGCATAGAGCCGTGGGTATACAGGAAGCAGATCTCTTTGGAGACTGAGTTATTGGTGAGATGAGGTTGGCTGTGGCTTGTCCTATTCCTGATCTTTGTCTTACACACGAATACAAAGAATTAACATGAAAAGCTGTAAGAGAAAAAGCTCACCTATGGCAGAATCATCAGAGTAATACCAAGTCTCTCATTAGCAAGCTTGGAACCAGGAGAGTGTGGAAAGATACATCCTAAGTCCTGAAAGTAAGTGCACACCAACCAAGAGTGCTAGACCTGCAAAGCTGTCTATTTACTTTGGTGAAGAAATAAGGACATTGCCACACAAGCAATTCACGATCATCAAGCCAGCGTTAGAGAAGATGCTTTACATATACGAAGTGGAAAGATAAATACTCTGAATAGCACAGGAAAGAATAACTTCAGGAGAGGACCAGATGAACAATGGAGAGCTAGGAAAGAACCCATCATGTCTAACACAGTACACAGGGGCACCCTGATACTAACAGGGAGCAAGTAAAGAAAAACAGCAATCCAACCAACCACAAAATTACAGAAATCAGTACAGGACTCTCTATAATAAGCTTAAATGTAACTGGCTTCAACTCACCAACAAAGAGACACAGACTGGCTGACTGGTTTAAAACTAGATCTAATGATCGGTTTCAAAAACAAAACAAAACGCCCACATCCTCCTCAAGACAAAGGATACTGCACAGTCTACACAGTGAGTTGAAACCAGTTGAAAGCAAACTGGTACAGTTCTTCCAGTATCTGACAAGGTAAAGTCCTGCCAAATTAGTCAGCTCTTTCTGGTTTTGTGTGTTTGTTTTTAAAGAAGACTACATACTAATAAAGGCAACAATTCATCAAGAAGATGTAATACTTGTAAATGTATTTACAGCAAATACTAAGGCTCCTCCCAATTCCATAAAACAAACACAAAAGGACATCAACTGTCGGAGAGGACTCAGACAGAAAGAGTGGGTGATTCAGTCAGTACTCCTTCTCACTTCTAGAAACATCGTCCAAACTAAAAATCAACACAGATAGCTCAGAGTTAAAGTCTGTCACTGATCAAAATGACTTAGCTGATATCTACAGGATATTCTATCCAAAAGATACAGGCTATACATTCTTCTCAGCAGCCCTTGGAACCATCTCTAAAACAGAATCACATTCTAAGCTATGAATTAAGCCTTACCAAATACAAAAGAATCAATGTAAGCTCTTGTATCTTATCAGACCAGAGTGCAATTAAAGTAGAAATCGTTGCAAGAATACCCAGAAATTAAGAAATTATACATACACTCTAAGATACTCTTGAATAACAACCACTGTATCATTGAAGAACTCAGAGGAAACCGAAAGGGCTTTGAATCAATGATGATGAAAGCCAGTCTTATCAGTCTTTGGGGTATAAGTAGGGCAGTTCTAAGAGGAAAGTTTACAGGTATGGATGCTTATATTAAAAAGTAGGGGAAGGACTCAGATGGCTCGGTGGTTAAAAGCATTTACTGCTCCTCCAGGACCCGAGTTCAGTTCCCAACTCCCACATCAGGTGGCTTACAACTGGTTTAACTCCAGCTCCAGGAAATCGTACACCTCTGGTTCCCGTAGGCATCGCACCTTAACATAAATTTAAAATAAACCTTTTCTTGAAACCCAGAAAGGGGCTGGTGAGATGCACAGCTCAGAGGGTAGAAGCACTTGCATGTAAGTCTGACAATCTGAGTTTGATCCCTGGAGCAAACAAGCTTGACTCAACACAGGCAAAGCAGTGAGCTGAATCAGAACATACACAGTCCTAAGGGTAGAAATCATGTGATCATCTCAATCAATGTAGAGAGGCCTTTGGCAAAGTTCCCTGAGAAACTAGGAGTAGAAAGAACATACCCTAACATAATAAAGGCTCCCACAACAAACCTACAGCCGACATCACGCTAAACTGATAGCATAGTCTCGAGAATCTTGAGCAGGACAAGGGTGCCCACTTTCCACTAGAAGTCTTGGCCTCAGCAATAAGAGTAAGAAAGAAAAGGTGCACAGTGAAGAAGTCTGGTTGTGGCTACTTGCAGGTGACTGATCATTTATTTCAAAGGTCCTAAAAACTCCACCAGAAAAATCAACATGCAAAATCCAACAGATTTTCTAGACCAAAAACTGTGGAGCCAGAGAGAGCTGGCTCAGCAGCTAAGAGCATTTGCGGCTCTTGCAGAGGACACGGATTCAGTTCCCAGCACCTACATGGTGGGTCAAAATGAGTTCCAGAGGATCTAATACCTTCTTCTGACCTAGGGGCACCAGGCAGATGTGTGCTTTGCATGCATACATGCAAGAAAAATACTCATACACATAAAATAAAGTAAAAAAAAAAAAATCTAACCAAAAAATTCAAAAACCTATGGGTGAAAGGCCCCTACAATGAAAAGTTCAAGATAACGAAGAAACTAGAAAACGGGAAAAAATCTCCCAGAGACTCAAAGATTTAATGCTGTGAAAATGGCTGGCCCCAAAAGCAATCTTCAAAACCAATCCCATCCCCATGAAAACCCTAATGAAATTCTTCATAGAATTAGAAAAAAAATCCTAAGATTCACTTGGAAATAAAAAGACTTTAAACAGCTAAATCAATGCTAAGTAGAAGGGAGAGTGTTACATAGTAACAAAGTGCCATGGTCCTGGCACCTAAGCAGGTATGCTGGCCAAGGGAACAGACTGACGACTCAAACCACACAAAGGGCCACCCAACGTGGGACTAAACTGTTGAAAACACTCTCTGGGGAAAATACAGCTGCTTTAATCCTGGGTGGACTCCCAAAGTAGAAGAAGGAAACCAGACTCTTATCTCTTGTTCTTGTCTTGTGCAAAAATCAATTCAAAATCCACTACAGACCTGACGTAAATCCTGATGTTTAAATCTGCCCAGGGAACACACTTCAAGATTCAGGCACAGGCAAGGACTTTCTGCTGCTAATAAAGATGCTAACTGGTTTGGGGATTTAGCTCAGTGGCAGAGCACTTGCCTAGCAAGCGCAAGCTCTGGGTTCGGTCCTCAGCTCCAGAAGAAAAAAATAAATAAATAAAATAAAGATGCTAATTATGTAAGAAATCATCACAAAAATTGACAAATGGGATTGATGATATGAAATTAAAAAGCTTCTGAAGAGCAAAGAAAACCATTGCCAGAGAAAAGAGAGCCTGTGGAGAGGGTAAACTGTGTGCAGCCCCATCAGAAGACACTAACACCTCACACACACAAGGAGCCTGAAAACTAAACCCTGAAAGAATCAACTCATCCAACCAGTAAGCAGGAAGTGATTTGAACGGGGCAGGAAATGGAGAGGGCAAGAGAAGCAAGCCCTGAGGTCAGAAAGTAGAAAGGGAAGGGAAGGGAGCCAGGGGGAGGTGGGGTGGGGGCGGGGAGTGCCATGAGGGCTGTGGGGGAGGGGACATGAGAACAAAGACCAAAGACAAATGTTTGAACACACCATTAGGGAAAGACTTAGTTTGTATGCTAACCTAAAAAATTAATTTAAAAAAAATTCTGAAGTCATTAAGGACATTTTTATAGTCAAGTTTCACGTTTTCTTGTGGTTAAAAAGCAAGAACAACAAAGAAGTAATCTCAAGAGAGGTAGAGATGAAGATGAACAGAAGAATTTGAGTTTTTAGTTCATTCCTTTCTGTAACATCTTTATGTCAGCGCTTTCGTGGAAGAAGTAAATGAATTAAAAATAAACAGCTGTGTTTGGGGGTGCATGCCTTTAATCTACACAGAGAAGTCTTGTCTCTAAAAACCTAAATAAATGAAAATGCAAACAAGACAGATACACACTCATCAGTACTCTGACTAGTAAACAACAGCAGAGCGGGGTATGGTGGCGCACACCTTTAATCCCAGCACTCAGGAGGTAGAGAAAGGTGGATCTCTAAAGAGCTGAGCCTGAGCAAAATCCTCTCAAAAAAAAAAAGAGAGAGAGAGAGAAAAAAAATGGTGTGCAAAGAAAATGTTGGTACACTGAAAAATGCAAAAACTTCACAGCAAAATACAGTAAGCAAAGTAATAATAAATTTTAAATAAGCAACTGAGCCACCTTTGAAAATCCCTAAGCAATAGAGATGCCAAGGGAACCGTCCAGGGCAGCCTCCAGCTCCAAAAGTAACCCAAAAGTTAGTTTCATTTTTCTCCAGTTTCTTCAAGAATCCAAAGTCTCAGACCAGCCTCAAATGCTGGTTGTGCTGCATGGATGAAGGAGAGCTGTCTCTGAACGTGGACACCAGAAGCACATTGCTGGCGCTGGCACTGGACCTTCAGAGAGGCTCCTGTGTCCAGCTTCAGCAATGTCTTCCTTCTGTTTCCCCGGAGCAAAACTCAGGAAACCAAACGTAACCTTGGCCTGAACAACGCAGGCAGGAGGCTCCTTTTCCCTGACTGAAACTAAGTGTGTCCCCCAGTTGCAGCCACATTCAAATTTCCTTTTTGTTTTAATAAAACAAAATAAATATTTACTCCGAAGAGCATTCCACCAAGGGAAAAAGATTAGATCTCGGCAGAGGAGAATCACTGTGACCTTGGGTGTGATGAGGTCTGCGTGGTGCAGAGTACACCAGAGAAATGAAATGGGAAGAACACTGGCCATGTGTGAGTGAGCACATGGGCAAAGGGGAACCTGAAGCAGGACAACTCTTTTAAGTCATACAAGCAGAAAGGACTCAGCCAAGAGACTATGGTAATGCACCTCCCACCTGTGGGGAAACAGGCCTCTGAGAATCTGCTGGGAGCTGGAATAATGGGGTTGGAATCTGAGGTGAGGTGAGAAGGGGGGCAGGCTAAGGAAGGGTGTGTAACAGCAGCATCTACTCACCACAGTCACCAGAGCAGCCTCCCCACCCCCATGGTTCTGCTGAAGTGGAGAAAGACTGAAAGTGTCTCCATCACTTGAGTTTTTTAGAACAGGGTGATCCCAGCCTCACGATATTATATTTCACCCGCCATCACATTATTTATTTTTCATAGTAAGATTAACAGTTCCTACCACGTCATCAGAGGGTTCCTCATTTTAACTCTTTTAAGAGATGCATTTAGTTTTACTTTAAGTGTGTAAGTACATGTGAGCCTGGTTCACTCAGAGATGAGAACAGGGCATTGAACCCCGTGGAACTGGAGTGACAGATGGCTGTGAGCCACCAAACAGGTGCTGGGAATCGAACCCAGGTCTCCTGAAAGAGCAACTAGTGCTCTGACCTCTGAGCCATCTCTTCAACCCTTAATTTTAACTCTCCTTAAAAATTTTTGCTGGGCCGGGCGGTGGTGGCGCACGCCTTTAATCCCAGCACTCAGGAGGCAGAGCCAGGCGGATCTCTGTGAGTTCGAGGCCAGCCTGGGCTACCAAGCGAGTCCCAGGAAAGGCGCAAAGCTACACAGAGAAACCCTGTCTCGAAAAACCAAAAAAAAAAATTTTTTTTGCTGGGTACCTGGGCACGGTGGCACACACCTTTCGTTTGTTTGTTAGGTTGGTTTCTCTGAGTAGCTTTGGAGCCTATCCTGGAACTCACTCTGTAGCCCAGGCTGGCCTCAAACTCAGAGATTCTCCTGGCTCTGCCTCCCGAGTGCTGGGATTAAAGGTATGCACCACTACCGCCGCGATGGTGGCGCACACACCTTTAATCCCAACACTCAGAAAGCAGAGGTAGATGGATCTCTGCGAGTTCAAGGCCAGTCAGGTCTACATAGCTAGTCCCAGAAAGTCACAGTTCACAGTGAGACCCTATCTCAGAAAAAAAAATTTTAACTTTCTTTTAAAAATTTTGGGTCCAGGGCTGGAGAGATGGCTCGGAGGTTAAGAGCACTGGCTGCTCTTCCAAAGGTCCTGAGTTCAATTCCCAGCAACCACAAGTTGGCTCACAACCATCCGTAATGAGATCTGGTGCCCTCTTCTGGCCTTCAGGCATACTGTATACATAATAAATAAATGAATCTTTAAAAAAAAATTGGGGGGTCCAGAAATGTCTCGGCAGGTTATAGATTTTTTTATGCAAGCCTGGAGCTTAAGTTTGACCCACAAAAAGGTGGGCGGAGAGAGCCAAGCCCCGAGTTGTCTTCTGACCTCGCCACGTCATGTGCATGTCTTCACTCACACACATACATTACACACACACACGACTAATAAATAAAATTCAAAATGCGAGGCAAATTCCAAGGTGTATTTTAATATACTGTGAGTACTTAGTATTACCTATGGAGAAAAAATGTATTTTATTTTTTTTAATAAAAGAAAATGCATACTTACTCTGAATAGTATTTCTTCATTCCATTTTGGATTCAAAGACTAAAAGACAATAAACATGGTGTTATTTATTTGTTAATTCTCTGTCATATAAAAAACAAGTTTATGAGAAATCTTTGGAAGCTGGCTAACTCTAACCTTTCTGATAGTTTTCGTCTGAACGCTGGTAAGGACTCCACTCATCGGGTCATACAACGTCACTCTCACGTAAGGATCACTGTTAAAAACAAGGACATTTTGGTAGTTCAGTCCAACTGTTCACATTATCAGATTTTCAGAGTTTTCTCTCTTAACAGTTGCTACTATTTTATTATTTCTATTACTTTGTATGCTTAAAAGCCAGGGATCTGTATGCAGGCTAAGCATTTGCATTGTTAAAAAGCTTAAGTACCAGGTCAGTAAAACCAGCAACGATTCAGAGTGCAGATCTCTTACCCACAGTTCTGGTGACTTACAAACTTTTTAGGCATTTTGAAAATGTCTCTGAACCTTAGTGTCTCTTTTGAGCGTAGGCGGCTAATTCAGAGGTTTGTAAAACCAGCTTTTCAACACCACAGGTGTTTCCAAACCATCTCATGGTGTAAACCTTGTTACATATAGCAAAGACTCACACACACACGGGGCAATCAACTCATGTAAGCATGCAGACATATATGTAAGTGACAATAAATAAATCTTCAATTTAAGTCGTCAAATTAAATTTTTAATTACATTAAAATAAACTGCAGTTAAAAATAATTACATCTTTCCAAGCATGGTGGGGCACACCTTTTAATCCCAGCACTCAGAAGGCAGAGGCAGGAAGCTCTCTATGAGTTTGAGGCTAGCCAGGGTTACAGGGTTAGACCCCACTTCAATAAATAAATAAAATAAAATAAAATTACATGTTATAGAAGCCCTTCTACTTTCTTTAAGATTTATTTTTTTGGTTTTCTTTTTTTGTTGTTTTGGGTTTTTTTTAGTTTTTGGGGTTTTGTTGTTGTTTTGGTTTTTTTTGAGACAGGGTTTCTCTGTGTAGCTTTGGAGCCTCCTGCCTCTGCCTCCTGAGTGCTGGGATTAAAGGAGTGCGCCAAAACTGTCCAGCCCAAGACTCAGTTTATTTTTTATTCCTCTGTGTGTGTGTGCCCCCTAGAGCTAGAGTCACAAAGCTACCTGACATAGGTACCGGGAATAAAACTCAGGTCTTCTGTGAGAGCAGCAAGTGCTCTAAACAGCTGAGCCATCTCTCCAATCCCAGAAACCCTACTAAAAGGAGACATGAAAGGGGACAACCTTGTGACACATGGGCTTTTGCAGAGTACAGAGACTGAATAAGGACATCCTGCTCACCCAGTCAAATCTCCGCTTTCTCTTGTGTATTTCAGAGCTGGTACTGACCCTTCTTCTCACTCCCTCCTCTCCAATCCCGTGTGCTCACACCCCTTCCTTCACACTGTAACTCACAAAGCCCACTCCCAACACACTGGCACTAACTGGAACCCACCCTCCCTCCTGTTCTCCTGTGTGGAGCTGGTCCACTTGTCCAGCGCTCTCCAGCGCAGAAACGGGCATTTCACCAACCGCTTTATCCTCCAGCTTCCCCTTAGACCTAGTTTTTCTAGGTCTACCAATGTGTTGTTTTTTTTTTTTTTTTTTTTTGGTTTTTCGAGACAGGGTTTCTCTGTGTAGCTTTGCGCCTTTCCTGGAACTCACTTGGTAGTCCAGGCTGGCCTCGAACTCACAGAGATCCGCCTGGCTCTGCCTCCCGAGTGCTGGGATTAAAGGCGTGCGCCACCACCGCCCGGCAACCCAATGTGTTTTGAAACTGCTCTATTCCTGACTCACCCTCCTTCCTCTAGCAAAGTGGAACACGTTTTTTCTTCCTTTCTCGGTTAAACTTTGCAAGAGAATGCTTGGTAATAACACTCACACAGCAATGACTCCACATCAAACACTGCTCAAAGCAGCTTTTGTGGATCAGGATGAGCTATTATCCTCTTCTCCACGTTGGACATGGTGGGGGAGGCCGCGGCTGGGGCTATAGCGCCTGCTCCACAGAAAAGAACCACCACCTTGGGGACCTCCCTTCCTCCCTCCCTTCATTCCCAAGGCTCTTTAGAACCATGAAGTCTACTTTCTGTCTGTCCTCAGATCTATTCTGAAAATGCTCTGAAACACTCATCTCTGGGTTCTTACCCTACCCTAAACTCCTCTTTTCTCTTCCTCTCTCCCTGACAGGCTATCATGTAGGTCAGATACCCTTCACCTCTCCGTGTAATTGAGAAGGACCCAATTCTCCTACCTCCATCTCAAGTGTGGGATTACAGGCACGCATTACCTCATCCAGTCCACGGGGTGCTATGGATCAAACCCAGGACTTTGTGCATTCCAGGCAAGCTCACACCCCTCCCTCAGTCTTTCTTAAGTCTCTTTCCTATTGGCTGCAAGTTTCATGCTGACATTCCCTAAGGTATTCACCTGGACTCCTGGCCTCTGCATCTCTCTAATCTCATCCATAGTCTTCACGACTAAATACATAACGTCAAATAAAAACTGTAAAAATTGCTGGGTGTGATGGCGCACACCTTTGATCCCAGCACTTAGGAGGCAGAGGCAGGCGAGGTACAAGGTTCAAGGCCAGCCTGGTCTACAGAGAAGCTCTAGGTCAGCAAGGGCTACATAGGAAGACCATCTTAAAAGAAAAAACCTAACTCTAACCTACCCAGATACAGATTGCCATTTAGACATTTTCTAATGTCTGGTCCATTCAGTGGTTCTGGTTTTTATTATATTACTATTGAGTTAGTTATAAGATAGCTAAAATTAAAAGTCTTGGCAGATGTATGACTGCTTCTTGACTGTGGTATGAACATTTCATCTGACCCAAGATGTCTCTTAGGTCTTTAAGTGTACAACACATTAGGTCACAGTCTTGGATCACTGAGATGGTCAGTGGGTAAAGGTACCTTCCAAGACTGACAACTTGAAGTCAATTCCCCCAGAAGCCATATGGTGGAAAAAGGGAACTGATTCATACAAGTTGTCCTCTGGCCTCCATCTACATGGCATGCCATGCCATGTGCACATGTTCAGTGTTCACACATACACACAATAAATAAATACAATGTAACAGACTTCTATTTCCTTCCTTTTCCTCGGTGTGGTTGACTTATATATTTACTTCCTGGGGGCCACACATCACAGTTAGACAATTCGTGAGCCCACTGAACCCACACTCTGTATGGAATATGCAGATGCATCATAGTGACCACTTCTCAGGGCAGCATGGCCCCACAAAACTCACAGCAGCCTGCTCTGAACTCCATCAGTTAGCACTCCCTGATGGAAATTAACATGGGTTACACCCTGACCCCCAAAGACCTCAGCCTGCCATGCCCTTGCCCACATACACTGGCACATATACACCCAGGGCCTCCCCAGTTATCACTGACCCGGTGAGGCGCACTTTGCTGTTCTGAGATCTAGTAAGTTATAACCTGTTTCTGTGATTTTGTTGAGTTGCCTCATTTGTGTTTACCTGAATGACAATCTGAAACAATCTGAAACTAACTTCTCCACCGAGACTGGCTCCCTAGGTAGGAATAACCTGGACACAGACCAGACAAGAGTCACAGCACACTGTCCAAGATACACAAATTTCCTGAAGCACATCCGGTGGCCTGAGGTTCTACAACTGGAGGGTGGACCACAGAGGCACTCTGAAAATACGAGATACCCAGAGCACCATGAGGGCAGGGCTGGAGTTTACAGACATCCCCGCAAGACCTCGTGACTGAATTAGAAACAAACACACAACAGCCACTTGGTAAGACCCTGAAGCAGTGGGTCAAACTAAAGAATCAAGGAGCTTCTAACGCCCCCCCCCCCCCACTGAGATCATAAGCACTTGCTCAGGTGGGACACGGAGCTGTGAATTCCTATCATCAGGCAGCAAGAGACACATAATCCTCACATGTCCTGTGAATGTCAACTTACTGTGTGCATTTGAACATCTACTTACAGTCAAGAATGTTTCATTTGCAGTCATTAGGATGTATTCTTCAGGCCAGTTATACAAAGACTATACAAATTTGTTTTAAACCTTTGTTTCAGAGATTGATTTTTTATTTTTAATTACATGTATGTGTGGGTCTGGGTCTGTGTGTGTACGGGGGGATTTGTGTGTAGAGGTCTGTGTGTGTACGGGGGGATTTGTGTGTCTGTGTCTATGTGTAGGGGTCTGTGCACGAGTGCTGGTGCCTGCAGAGGCCGAGGCTTTGGAAGTCCCTGGCACTGGAGTCCCAGGCAGCTGTGAGCTGACAGACATGCGTTGGGAAGCACTGTTATCTGCTGAGCTTTCTATCTCCAGGCTCGTGTGATATTTCTTAAAGTATCTGTTTTAACAATTTTGAAAGGCATGAGTGTCTTTACCATTATAGAATTTTCCATTTTTCCTTTTTCAAATTTTGAGCCACATATCTCAGAGTTCTGACAGGCATACACCCATTTCTAACTATTATAATCTGGAAATAGTTTCACGGTGAACCCTTACTTCATCAGATTTTAAAAGTATACTCTTTAATCTTTATCATTCCAGTTTTGAATTCATTTTTCCTAACTTAGCTGTGTCATTATTTTAAGTGTTTTAAGTCTAGCTTTAAAGAGTTGCTTCACTTAATATGTGCACACATGCAGTACCTGCAGAAGCCACAAGAGGGAAGTGGATCTCCTGGAGCTAGAGTTCTAGATAGCTGAGAGCCAGCTGAGGTAGGTCCTGGAACCAAACCTGAGACATCTCCCTAGCCTCTAAATATTGCCAACATACCTTCTACTTGATGGTATGATGGCACGATCCTTCTGCCCTCCCCACCCCCATACATCTCTCACTACCAGGGATTCAACATAGACCACCCCAGGCTAGATTTTTGAAGGTGTCCCTCACTATATAGCTCAGGATGGCCTAGAACTCACAATTCTCCCAAGTGCTGGAATTACAGGAATGAGACACGTAATAACGAGTCTAACGAGTGTTACTTTCTAATTTACTGTAATAACCCCACCTTGTGTTACTTCTCTCCATTAACGTTTCATGTAATTACTGACATGACTGGATACAAGTCTATAACTCATTGTATGTTTTCCTTTCCTTGCCCTACTCCCTTTCAAAAAACAATTTGTTTTGTACTGGCTTTTTTATTTTTTCAAGAATTTCATTTTAAAATTTTTGCTTTTATAGGCAGGGATGGTGGCACACACCTTTAATCCCAGCCTCTGATCTCTGAGTTTCAGGACAGCCTGGTCTACAGAGTAAATTCCAGGACAGCCAGGGCTGTTACACAGAGAAACTGTCTCCTGTCTCAAAATAAACAAGCAAAAAACAAAAAACAGAAAGCAAACTTGTGCTTTTACAAACCTGTAACTCCTTGCGTCCGTGTGGGTGGTTTATCTAGGTCTTTACCCCGCACCCTTAAGGACTCCCTCCACTCATGCTTTCTGCTCTTACACTATTCTTCCCTGCAGGGTCGCAGCAGACACACGCAGTGCAACATACACCTGTTCTTTATGCTGTACTTGCCATGGATGTTCCTTATCTATAATATGAATCCAAAAGACAAGGTTGGGAACCATGACTCCAATGGGCCCTGGATAAGGTTAAGAGCACTTGCTGCTCTTGCAAGGGACCCAGGTTTGATTCCTAGCACAAACATGGCAGCTCAAACCCATGGGTAACTCCAGTTACAGGTGATTCAACACCCTCTTCTGACCTCTGTGGACATCAGGCACACACACACATACATAAATTTAATTTTAATTTAAAGAAAAGTATCTGTAGATTCCAGATATTGTTTCTGATCTTTTCCTTTCTGAGGATCTGATCTTCCATCTGGCATCAAATGTCTGTATTTATCACTGTCTTTAATTTTATAAATGCAGTAATTCAGTGATGCATGTGCATGTTAAGTGCAGTGCCTGCTGAGGCCAGATGAGGGCATCAGTGGTCACAGGCAGTTCACTGGGAATGGTCCTCTGCAGAGCAGTACAGGATCGTAACTGCTGAGCCAACTCCAGCCCCTGATGTTTTTGCTAATAGAAAACTGTGTGTTTCACTGATTTCAGTTATCCTCCCCAGTCCCCCACAGGGTTTCACTGTGTAGCCCTGGCTGTCTTGGAATTCACTCTGTAGACCAGAAATCAGAGATCCACCTGCCTCTGCCTCCCAAGTGCTAGAATTTTAGATGTGTGTCACCACTGCCCAGCTTCAACACTTTTTTTTTTTTTTTTTTTTTTTTTTTTGGTTTTTGGGACATGGTTTCTGTGTAGTTTTGGTGCCTGTCCTGGATCTCGCTCTGCAGAACAGGCTGGCCTCAAACTCACAGAGATCTGCCTGCCTCTGCCTCCCAAGTGATGGGATTAAAGGCGTGCGCCACCACGGCCTGGCCAAAACTTACTCTTTAAAAATGTTTTCATTTAACTCTCCCTTCTTTCTGGAGCTTAGTGATGACAGATTGTTCCTTTTTATCTATCAACTTCTAACCGGTAAATGATTCCTCTTGATATACGTTCAGTTCATCTTTGCTCTACATTCTGTTACCACAACCACCTAAGCATTTTATTTATTTTTTGGGGGTTTTTTGAGACAGGGTTTCTCTGTGTAGCTTTGCGCCTTTCCTGGAACTCACTTGGTAGTCCAGGCTGGCCTCGAACTCAGAGATCCGCCTGGCTCTGCCTCCCAAGTGCTGGGATTAAAGGCGTGTGCCACCACCGCCCAGCATAATGTTTTTGTTTTTGTTTTAAGATTTTTTTTTTATTTATTACATTTACAGTGTTGTTTGCATGTATGATTACATGCCAGAGGAGGGCGCCAGATCTCATTACACATGGTTGTGGGCCACCATGTGGTTGTTGGGAATTGAACTCAGGACCTCTGGAAGAGCAGTCATTGCTCTTAAACTGAGCCATCTCTCCAGCCCAACCCATGCATTTTTAATTTCAAATACTGTTTTATACCTGTAGAATTTTCCTTTTAATCGTTTATTTATTTGGTCTCTATTTCATTCCTGAGACTTCTAATGTTTTGACTTACCTTGAGCATATTCTCTTTCCTTTTTTTAAAATTGTTTTGTATTTTTTGTTTTTCTGGAGACAGTGTCTCTCTATATAGCATTGGCTGCCCTAGAACTCACTCTAGACCAGACTGTCCTCAAATTCAGAGATCTGCCTGCCTCTGCCTCCCGAGTGCTGGGAACAAAGGCGTGTGCCACCACATCCTGCTCATATACTCTTTATTGACTGTGTTCCATTCCCTGGATCTTTGCAGACCAGGTGATGACATGTTGTACCATGGACACTGTAAGCTGGGCTGCAGACAATGTTTCCTCTGTTTATCTATCTTGTGTGGACAAGGGTCACAAACCCTGTTTGTTGGACAATGACTCTCGGCTCAGACCTCTGACATCCGCGGAGTGCGGCCCTTTTTCTTCCAGAATCTGCACCACTGCCACGCTTCCTTCAGAGTCCATCTTCTGCTTCTCCCCCACGGAGCCCACCACCCTCCAGATTTTCAGGCTGTGGCGACGAGCAGCCACTGCTCCAGCTTATGATTCTATGCAGCTTCAGACTAATTCCTTTTTGTTTTCCAGACAGGGTTTCTCTGTGTCGCCCTGGCTGTCCTGGAACTCCCTCTGTAGACCAGGCCTGCCTCTGCCTCCAAGTGCTGGGATTAATGGTGTGTGCCACCACCGCCCAGCTCAGATTAACTGCTAAAATGGCAAATCACTCTAGACTTTGCTCCCGGTGTAGATCCCACCAGGACAGCCCTCTCTCTTCACTCTATGCCCAGAGAGCTACTTTTTATAGTGTATCCTGGGTATGGTCGTTATCCGCTAAAGGGTTTAGAGAGTTTGTACATTTCTTGGAGCAGAACTCAATAATAAATCTTTAATTTTACAAATTCATTAATTCAGATACCAAGAAATATAATCTGGAATGATTTCGCTGTGCATCAAAATTTGCTAATATTATCATTCAAATTTTTATTTAATCAAAGTTCAAGAAAAAAAACTAAGACATGCCAAGTTTTCAAATGCCAAGCCCATATACTATACTTACCTGGCTCCCAAGATATCCTTCTTGGCCAGGCCTATGCCAGCTATGACCTTCACTCTCACGACGCGAGTGTTATCCTAAAATGTAAACAGTTCCGTTTTATTCTCATGTAATTATGAGTTATCTAGTACGATAATAACCTAATACAATAGTAATATTCAAATTAGAGAAGACTTTTAAAATGATTAATCTGATTAAAAGTTACATAAAGGGGGCTGGAGAGATGGCTCAGCGGTTAAGAGCACTGGCTGTTCTTCCAAAGGTCCTGAGTTCAATTCCCAGCAACCACATGGTGGCTCACAGCCATCTGTAATGAGATCTGGCTCCCTCTTCTGGCCTGCAGGGATATCTGCAGACAGAACACTGTATACAGAATAAATAAATAAATCTTTAAAAAAAAAAGTTACATAAAGGAAAATAAAAACAGAAATTACTATTTTTAGATATAGTTGACCACATGCAAAGAACTAAAGTTATTACAATCAATAAGAATTTAACATTTTCAAGAAAAATCTAATGACAAATTGTAACTAGTGAAGTTACTACTGTTGCTGTGTTCATAAATCAAACACTCACAATCATTTGTAATAATTACTAAGAAAAGTTAACTATTTTTAAAGTCTCATCAAATAGGTATAAATAACAGTACACATACTGTATTATGTCAAATACCAACTATTTTGCATAACACAGTAGGATGAGATTTTATGGGAGAACTTTTTTGTCTTAAAAAGGACATACCGTCTGAGGGGAGCTAGGGGAAGGAGTTAGTGTGGTGAATGTGATCAAAATACACTGTATATGGCTGGGTGTGGTGGTACACCACTTTAATCACTTGGAGGAATCACTCACTAGGCAGATCTCTTTGAATTTGAGACCAGATTGGTCTAGATAGCCCAGGCTAGTCAAGATTATATAGCGAGATCATCTCCAGAAAAGATAAAAAAGGAAGAAAAAGGGAGTTGTAGGGCTGGAGAAATAGTTGAGCAGTTAAGCTCAGCAGTTAAGAGCATTAGCTGCTCTTCCAGAAAACCTGGATTCAATTCCCAGCACCTGTATGGTGGCTCACAACCATCTGTCTATAACTCCAGTTCTAGAATCTGAAGCCTTCTTCTGGTCTCTATTGACATTAGGAACACACATGGTATATACAAACACACAGACAAAACACTCATACGCATAAATAAAAACTTAAAAACATACATTGTGGGACTGGAGAGACAGCTCGGTGGTTAAGAGCAGGTGATCCTCTTCCAGGGAATCCGGATTGAACTCCCAGCACCCACAAGGTGGTTCACAATCGTCTGTAACATTACTTCCAGGGGATCCAACACCATCTTCCTCATTCTTATCCAGGCAAAATTCCCACACCTGTAAAAATTTAAAATAGAATACATTCTATGAAATTCTCAACAATTAACAAAATATTACACTTTCTATCTAAAAAGGTACACATCGAAATATTTCGGGGAAACCGCACCAATTCTGTAACTTATTCTCAAATAGCTCAGCAAATAAAAAGTCAAATGTGAGTCCGTCTATGCATGAACACAATGTTATCACGCTGTGGACTAAGCTCATGGCTATGGAAGTATGTGTTATACACCCTCTCTTAACTGTCCTATAAATTAGAAACAGTTTAAATCAAAAGAGGGTAGGTATGGATTCATTTCGGCTTCTGACAAAAAATACACTTAGGGGATTTTTTTTCCCCCCTGCTTACAAATTCCTCAGTCCATCATGGAGGGGAAATCAAGGCAGGAATCCACAGTCAAGATGAGAGACTGGGGGCTGGAGAGATGGCTCAGAGGTTAAGAGCCCTGGCTGCTCTTCCAGAGGTCCTGAGTTCAATTCCCAGCAACCACATGGTGGCTCACAACCATATTATAATGAGATCTGGTGCCCTCTTCTGGCCTGCAGTCAGAACACTGTATAGACAATAAATAAATAAAATATTAAAAAAAAAAAAAAAAAAAAAAGATGAGAGACTGAGTACCCTGGCTTGCTGGCTGGCTCCGTCAGCTTCCTGTCTCTCCCACTGTTCTGGACCCCTGCCTAAGGGGTCTGTAGGGCAGTTTCATACAACGTCCACTCCCATAAACACGGTCCACAGCCTGCTAACACTGTGTTCATTCTCTTTAATTTATGGACACACAGACATAGTCACATCCAACTTGTTATTCGCTATGTGTGCTGGCTAGTTTTATGTCAACTTGACACAAGCTAGAGTCATCTGAGAGAGGGAACCTCAGTGGAGAGAATGCCTCCTTAAGATCAGGCTGTAGGGAAGCCTTTAAGGCATTTTTTTCTTTTTTTTTCCTCTAAGATTTATTTGTATTTATTATTACGTATAGTGTTCTGTCTGCATGTGTGACTGCAGGCCAGAAGAGGGCGCCAGATCTCATTACAGATGGTTGTGAGCTACCCTGTGGTTGCTGGGAATCGAACTCAGGACCTTTCGAAGAGCAGTCAGCACTCTTAACCACTGAGCCATCTCTCCAGCCCCATTAAGGCATTTTCTTAATTAGTGATTGATGGGGGAGAGCCCTGCCCACTGTGGGTGCGGCCACTCCTGGGCTGGTGGTCCTGGATGCTGTAAGGCAGGTTGAGCTGAGCAGATCTCTGAGTTTGAGGCCAGCCTGATGTACAAGGTGAGTTCCAGGACCGGCTCTAAAACTACACAGAGAAACTCCATCTCAAAAAACCATGAAAGAAAAAAAAAGAAACAAAATTCCAGGTAAGGCTAAAGTGAAAAAGAAAACCTTAAAAGCTCACGAAAGTCAGCAAAATGGCTCCAAGGTGCCTGCTGCAAGCCTTGTGACTTGAGTTCATATCCCGGGACCCACATGGCGGAAGAAGAGAACTGACTCCCATAAGCTGTCTTCTAACTTCACACATGCACCATGGCACACGAACACGAACACACATACACACACACACACACACACAGAGTAAATTTAATTTCTATTATTCCACAAAAAAAAAAAAAAGAATTTCCTAATATTTCTATTGTGTTAATTAGGAAAGAGTCAGGGCTAGAGACATAGCTGAACTGATAAGAGAGCATGCCTACATGCAGGATGCAGCCAGGAGCACACCTCATCTTGAACTCTAGTGACCCGCCTCCACTTCCAGACACTTGGATTACAGGTGTGTACTATCACCTCCATAAATCAGTCCTGCCGTGTGTACTATCACCTCCATAAAACAGTCCTGCCAGACAGGCACTTGATCCATAAACCGCTCTCCTCCAGCCTCGAACACTGGCCTCCTTTTTTGTTATGGTTTACTCTTAGTATTTTTAATTGTATGTGTGTGTCTGTGTGTGGGTCCTTGTGGCGGCCACAAGAGGGTGGTCCAAGGTCCCCTGGAACTCAAGTTACAGGCAATTGTGAGCTGCCTAATGAGTGCTGGGAACTGAACTCAGTCTTCTACAAGAGCAGCAAGTGTTCTTAACTGCTGAGCCTTCTCTGCAGCCTCAACACTGTAATTCTTTTGTAGGAAAATTCAATCCTCGCACACAGATGCTTGTCAGCAGAGGAAGTCAAGAAATGGGAGTGGTAATCATGTGATTCCACCCCCATCTGCAGTAGGTGCATCTCACTAAGAAACCTACTTCTCACCAACACTAACTAGGAAAGTTTCCAGCCTCTAGAGGCCTGGCAGCAGTTCCCCTGGGAGGAGGCGGCTGGAAGGATATCAGGTAACCATCCCCTGGTCCACTTCCTTCTTTCCCATCAATGACTGGTGAGAAATGCCTGGCACCTCCAATCCTGGCGCTCTCCTAGGGGGCAGAGACAGGCAGATCTCTGAGCTCAGGGCCAGCCTGGCCTACACACAGAATTCCAGGTTACACAGTGAACCCGTTTCAGGACGAAAAGGGTGACAGGAGCTGCTTTCCACTGTAAATCCTAAGGGCCACTGGAGCACATCGGGTAAGCTGTCACACTTCTTCACTTAGCTAATGCTGTAATGTCAAATGTCTGCAAACAGGACCTCTTTCCACAGGGCAGACAAGGAAGAACTAAGTAAGACTCATGGAAAAGTGCGAGAGGCGTTCGATCCACTTCAGCATGCTTGAACCCTCACAATTCTCCACATTCCATGCCATTTCTATTCATTTCTCCTGGTTTCAAAGGGTTTGAATCTATTTCCTTCTTTTGGAGATAGGAGCTCACAGTATAGCTCCGGTTGGTCTTACAGTCAGGTGATTGTCTGGCTCTCAGCTTCGCAAGTGCTGGGATTACAGGTGTGTGCTATGATGGACCGATAGAATACCTTAGACACCCCCCCCCCCCAGACAAGGTCTCTCTATGTAGCCTTGGTTGTGCTGGACCTTGTTATATAGACCATACTGGCCTCAAACTCACAGAAATCCTCCTGCCCGTCTCCCATGTGCTGGGATTTAAAGTATGGGCTAGCACATCTGTTTATGCAGTGCTGAGGATCTAATCCATAGCTTCAGGCATACTAAGCAAATACTCCAACTAAGCCACACCCTCAGCCCAACCACTTTTAATCAACAGCAGAGGGCTGCCTACTCCCAGACTTGTCTATGAGTTCAAAAGGTAACAAAGCAGCCATGTTTCCTTCTTTAAATAAAGTGTGGAGGGGTGGAGGTGGGGGGTGAGGGTGGTATAGGTTCCAAGCCCCCATTTAGTTTTGTGATAAACCAGAAAATAAATGCCCAATGACATCGATGAGCTGCCAACGACAACCAGAAAACAGAACACTTCTGTCTCTGCACCAGACAGTGAAGTCCTTGGAGGCTGGCAGTCTTACCCTTTCCGTATCCCTGGTGCTTGGCACAATGCACACGGAACAGTAATGAATGTCTGCTGAGTAAATATTAATAACCCAATTACCACCGCAGAGGAAGATGCTCACCATGTCTGTCTCTATCCCCTACCTGACTCGCTTTCCTTAATGTGCACAAATAGACATAAAAAAATGGAGGGTATCTGAGCCATGGAACACACATCTAGACCTTCCTTCATCGTGGGACTCACAGTCCCCAATACAGAGGTGGAGTTTCTAGCCCCAGTTGCTGCTGAGCACCTACTGGGTGCCACTCAGATTTTAGTTCAGCTGGGCAAATGAAAAAGGCAATCAGGAATACAGATGGGGGACAAGAGAGACGGGTAAAGATGGCTTTATCAATAGTCTGTGATCAGCTGGCTTTGCTGGAAGGAGGTGAGGGAAGAAATCTGGGAGAGCCAGCCTCCACGCAGCCAGAGAAAGCCCCAGGACAGGGCAGGATGCCAGCCTGAGGTCCTGCACACTGGGTGGTTACGAAGTGTGCATTATTTAACTCCGTCTATACAACAGTAATGGGCACTAGTGAGACTATCACCCCTAGCGAGAGCAGGCTGAGGACTGCTTCTGGGGACTAAGGGACTAGAACCATCTGTCTGCCCATCACCACAGTCTGAGCGTGACCTGAGAACTCAACTTTTTTCTAAAGGTCTACTTATTTGTGTGAAGGAGAGTGTCTTGCCTGCATGTATTCACAAGCACCGTGTCCATGGCTGACTTCCAGAGGTCATAAGAGGGCATCATTTCTGATGGTTGTAAACCACCATGCGGATGTTGGGAACCAAACCCAGGTCCTCTGCAAAGGTAGCAATTGCTCTTAACTGCTGAGCCATCTCTACAGCCCCTCCTGTAACATTCCTAAGTATGTAGACATTCAACCCACTGTGCATTTAAGAACTCACTGCTCCCAACTGTGACTCAGTACCCACTATCGGTCTTTGCCTTCCTCCCACGTTCCCCCAACCGCTCTTCCAGGACTCTGGTAATCACCAATCTACTTCAAATAAAGATCTATTCTTTTGTGTGTGTGTGTGTGTCCACGCGCTTGCGCAGGTGCCAGAGGCAGAAGGAAGGCATCAGATCTCCTGGAGCTGGAATTACAGGTTATGAGCTGCCCCATAAGGGTGCTGAGTACTGAACTTCGGTCCTTTGCAAGCTCTTTTAATCACTAAGCCATCTCTCCAGCCCCTCTCCTTACAATTTTTATAACAAAAACGTTTTAGGTTTCCCATGGGTAGAATCTTAGGTACCCATCTCTCTACGCTTGGCTTATTTCACGTAAAATGTCTGCCATTCCACTCATGGAGAAAAGGAAAAAAAAAAAAAAACCGAAAAAAAAAAAAACAAAGGATCGCCTAAAAAAAAAAAATCTAATATTTCACGTAATATGTCTTCCATTCACCGATGGAGAAAAAAAGGATCGCCTAATAAACCAAATATTTCACGTAAAATGTCTTCCATTCTACCCATGGAGAAAAAAAACAAAGGATCGCCTAAGAAATCAAATATTTCACGTAATGTCTTCCATTCCACCCATGTAGAAAAATACAAGGATGGCCTAAGAAATCGAATTCTAACCGCAACACAAAAAAGGTTTTCAAAATACCCCGCAGTCATCATTCTACGTTAATAAAGTGCCCGCTGTTGATAAACAAAAAGCTTTCGGGGAAGGGGGAAAATGGAGGGCGCCAACTTGCTCAGAGAATGCAGCATTACAACAGCGTCTGGAGGTACCTGAGAAAAGAATAGAAATCGGGGGGTTCGGGTTGTCGGGCTAACGGGGTCCGATCTTGATAAAAGGTACATGTGGCCGCTAGATCGAGCGGCAGGAACTCGCAGATTTGATGCACGCGCACACACAGGCACACGCACACGCACACACACACTCTGAAAGGGTCACTGTGAAACGCTGCGGGGCCTTCCATGCCCCACCCATTGGAGACGACCGCCAGCTCCATCGAAGCTCTCCCTCAAGGGGGCCTCACTTTTCGTGAGCGCGAGGCAAAGTCGCGATTAAGTTGTCCGACTCTTAACAGACGGCTTCGCCTGCTTCCAATCGCAGGACTGCGGTTTTTCAAAGCCAACAGCTGTGGAGGGTGGTGGTGGGGGGGGTTCTTTAAAGTATTTATATTTCTCCGGCCTTCGCCTTTTTTTTTTTTTTTACCCGAACAAAGGCCGTGAAACAAAGCATGCACTCCCCCCCCCACCCGACAACTGCCGCGTTGTCCAAGGAATCCCACCGCCCCGCGCTCCCACCCTGGCCCTGGCCTCCCCGGGAAGCCATCGGAGGGCAAGCCGCCAAGTTCTGTCCGCTCCCGCTGCGGCAGGAGCGGGATGCGGGGGGCCCCCCGGGATGGCGCCCCACCCGAGCCATCGCCCTCCCCGAGGGGGTGCGCTCGCCCAGGCCGCAGCCAGGGCGCCCGGAGGCCGCCCGAGAGGGCGATGGCCCTGGGCAGCCGGGCGAGCAGGGCCCCGGGGTGGGGGTTGGGGGTGGGCGGCCTAGCTCCCGCCAGCCGCCTCGTGCTCGCCCCTCTCCACCGCTCCCTGCCCGCGTGGCCCGCTCCAGGGCGCGCGGCGGGGCCCGGGCCCCGATCACCCGCCTCCCCCGCTTCGATGGAGGTCCCCCCGAGCGGTCCCGCAACCGCCCCGCACCTCGTCCTCCGGGAGCCCCGGCGCCTCCGCCTCTTCGGCTGCCATGTCCGAGCTCACACGCTGGACGAACCGCCCCGCCCAGGCTGCAGCGGCGGGAGAGGAAAGCGAGGAGGCGGGCGCTGCGGCTGAGGCCCACCCCGGGTACGCGCGGGAGGGGGGGGGGGTGCAGGGGCGCGCGGCGGGAAGGGGCGGGGCGCGGCGCACCGCGGCTGCGCGCGCGGCGGGGCTGGGGCGCGGGGGGCTGGGCTGCAGCCAGCGTGGCGGGGGCCCGGGCGCGGGGGGCTGGGCTGCAGCCAGCGTGGCGGGGGGCTGGGGCGCGGGGGGCTGGGCTGCAACCATCGTGGCGGGGGGCTGGGCTGCAGCCATCGTGGCGGGGGGGCTGGGCTGCAGCCATCGTGGCGGGGGGCTGGGCTGCAGCCATCGTGGCGGGGGGCTGGGCTGCAACCATCGTGGCGGGGGGCTGGGCTGCAGCCATCGTGGCGGGGGGCTGGGCTGCAACCATCGTGGCGAGGGCCCGGGCGCGGGGGGCTGGGCTGCAGCCATCGTGGCGAGGGCCCGGGCGCGGGGGGCTGGGCTGCAACCATCGTGGCGGGGCCCGGGCGCGGGGCGCTGGGCGCGGGGGGCTGGGCTGCAGCCAGCGTGGCGGGGGCCTCCAGACACAAAGCGCCCCTCCGCAGCGCGCCTGCGCGTGGTGGGGCCCGCGGCGGGGGCGGGGGGAGGTGGGTGGCTGAAGCCCGCAGCCCCCGCCTAGGAAGGAGGGGGGAAGCGGTGGGGGCGGGAAGGTGGGGGGAGGGGAGGCCGCAGGGACCACGACGACGACGACGACGACGCGCTTCTGCAGAGAAAGCAAACCTTGCGGTTTTTGTTCGACAACCACAACGGTTCTCCCCGGGAGCCCGGCACGACCTGGCCCCGCGTTGAGAGCCCGCAGATTAGGCGAGCTTAGTCCCAGCCAGGATCCACCTCTGAAAACGTGGTCTGGCGGGTCCGAAGCCATCTTAGGACCCGGGAAGGGAATGCGCAGGCCTAAATCTGGGGGTGGGGGTGGGGGAGTCGGCTCCCATTCCAGCCACCAGGCTTAGGAAGCCATCCAAGCGCGCCTAGCTGGAAGAAAGAAAGGGTGGGGGAGGGAAGGAGAGCCGCTATTCCTCTTGTTTGGAGACGACAGGGCTTGGTGTGTCTCCCAGGCCAGCCTCCAACTCAGCTTCCTTCTGACTCACCCCTCCCGAGCCTCGATTACAGGCCACCATGATATCTTGTATTTTCTATAGTTACAAAATGTTGCCGAAATAGAGACTCTCAGACCTGATTTCAGGGATCGCGAGAGAGCTAATGGAGGTAAAGGCCCTCCCTCGTCAGCAAGCTTCACAACAAAGGAGCCCGGTGCCCCACACCCACATGGAGGAAGGCGAGAACTGACTATCCAGCAAGTCCTCTGACCTCCACGCGTACCTACAAAATAAATAAATGCTTTTTACAGATCCTATTGCAGTTTTCCCAAAGAAAATTAAACAAATTCTGAATTTACGAGTCACCTTTTAAAATGTTGACAAATGTGAGCAATTGATTGTTTACATAATATTTCGTTGAACTTTGGCAGAATCCATTTCATTCATCCTAGCTATCGGAATTCTGTTAATATGTAATCCATATTTTATCATTTGTGTTAGAACAGATGTGACAAGTAAACATGGGCACAGTATTCCTAAATAGTCAAAATCTAACCACGATCGTGGAACTAGTAGTGTACATTACTGGTAGAACGAGGCCTAGCATGTGCAAGGCCTAGGCTGGAGCCCCAGCCTCACAAATAAGTAAATAAACAGGCAGATGTAGAATCAAGTCTTTAGCTTTATAAACTCACATATCTTGTGTTCTTAGGTGTTAGGAATAAAATAAGCTAATCACAGTGGCGATTGCCTTTAATCCCAGCACTCAGGCAGAAGCCAGAGGATCTCTTGAGTTTGAGGCCAACTTGATCTACATAGTGAGTTCCAGGGCAGCCAGAGCTAGTGAGACCTGTCTCAAAAGAAGGAGGAAGAGGAGGAGGAGACGATAAAGAAGATCTGAATATATTCTATATGTCTGTTATTTTTAGAGTAATACGTTCTCCTAATATCTCACTGTGTTGTCTTGTTGTGTTTTAAATTACCAGGGTCTCACTGTGTAGCATTGACTGGCCTGGGAGTCCCTATGTAGACCAAGAAGCCCCTCAAACTCACACTGCCTGCCGGAGCTCCCTGTGTGCTGGGATTAAAGACATGCACCGTCACACCCGGCACTGTGTATTTTTTTTTTTTTTTGTATTTAATTTTAAGTAGGTCATTCATGTTATTTCAAACAAGATCAGGAATCAGTTCCATTACTGGTGTTTTATTTAATGACGGAAGAACAGACAGCTTGAAATTGGCAATAGGATCATTGAGAAAATCCCATGAGATTATGAGCTGAAGCATTTGATGATAATTCCAAATCCCAGTTTTTGACTCATGGTTCTTTTCTTTCCATCCGGTGAAAATCATAAGGAAGGAATAACCTGGCAGGTGCTTAGGCACGATAAACAGGAGTGATTACTATCTCCCCGCAGAAAACTGGGAGGGGCCCTGTGAAGCCAGCTCCTGAAATAAAAAAGAATTAATGGAAAAAACCCTTGTCTCTATGTATTCTCTCAGCTCTGTGGAATATTCGTGGGGGTGGGGGTGGGGTGTATGTGTGGCTTGTGTGCTACAGTGAGCATGTGGAGATCAGACACAACTTTGTGGAGTCGGTCGATTGAACATGGGTTTCCAGAGTCCTCATAATAGTCCCTTTTATATATCCTTATACCCTTGCTTCTGTTCTTCTGAAGAACCCTAATGTATGTGGTATGGTTATGGTAACTGTTAAGTATAGTGATGTAAGTACTCTAGACCTCAGTTTTTCAGATTTCTAACTCAAATCCTTCTCCTTTTATTCTCTTACAAGTGTGTTGAAATAAGTACTTGAAAAGTCATGGGCTGGGAAGACTCCAGAACCTTGCCTTCCTGGGAAGCGAAGTGAAGCCCACTGGAACCTGTGAGCCAGAACCTCAAGCAGTCTCCACAAAGATCCTTCCCGCTTAGTCATTCCTGTCTGTAGTGGCAGGGATGGAGACCCAGCTTCACACTGTCACCTGCGGCAGCCTGAGGTCTTTTTCGGTGACCTGTCCTCAGGCAAAACCAGATCCTCAGCCACACCACAGAAAAGAATTTCAGGATTAACCTGTGTGAAGCAGAGTTGGAGTTTATGAAAAATAGAAGAGAGAATAAAGCATAGGCCGCCGAGAGCATGGGTGTGGGCTTCTTAAAGAAAACACTGCCTCCCCGTCGAAGCCGAGGACATAGCATGCCGGTGGTCTCAAGTTACATCTCAAAGAGTTGCTGAGAAATTGTTTTCCTCTCTTTTTGTTAAGTGAGATTCTAGGGTGGCTCCAGAGATGCCCTGGATGGGATTTCAGTCAGGTAAGATAAAATCAGGGCCTCTAGGATTGCACAAGGAGTTGGGACATGTTCTTCTACTGTAACTGGGGTTTCTGATGAGAATCAGAATAGACTGCAGGTGTATAGCCCGGAGGTGGGGGAAGGCCTCAAGCAAATGTTAGGTGTGTTGGATTGTGTGTGTGTGTGTGTGTGTGTGTGCGCGTGCGGTGCGCTCGTGCAATGTGAGTGCTGGTGTACATGGTGTATGGAGACCATATGTTCACCTTAGATGTGCAACCCAACAACTTCTCCTATGACCGACACCACACACACACACACGCACACACACACACTTCTTATTTTTTATTCTCACTGACCTGTAACTCGGTGGTAGGTAGGGCTGAGCAGCCAGCAAACCCCAGAATTCATCTGTCTTCTTCTCAGTACCCAGGACTACAAGCCTACGCTACCACACCCGATGCTTTCACCTGGATCGTGGGAATCAAACTGAGGTCCTCACGCTTGCAAGGCAAGCACTTTACCCATGAGCCCACACTCTTGTGCTAGGCTTCTCCATTCTCAATATTCCCCTGTGTCCGTCATCTCCCCGTGTTTCTGTCCTGTGTCAGCTCCCACATAATGCAGATACACCTACCTGAAGCCAACCAAGTCTCCTCTTTCGGCGTGGATTGATGGATTGAGCAAATGCAGGAGTGTGCCCAGGCATGCAAAGGTCAGAGGACAGCTTGCAGAGTCAGTTCTTTCCTTCCCCAGTGTGGGCCCCAGGGATCAAATTCAAAGCCTTAGGCTGGGTGGCAAGGGCTGCCTGTGGAGCCGTCTTGCTGGCCCCCAAGTAATTTCTCCCCTGCTCCCCCAGACTTGGTTTCTCTGTGTAGCCTTGGCTGGCCTGGAACTAGCCCTGTAGACTAGGCTGGCCTCAAGTAATTGCTTTTCTTTCCTATTTAGTTTATAAAAGCTCACGATCTACTCTGGAGTTCTCTGAACCTTTTTCAATTCTGGGTTTGTTTTGTTTTGTTTTGTTTTTTTCTCAAGACAGGGTTTCTCTGTATAGTTTTGGTGCCTGTCCTGGATCTCACTCTGTAGTCCAGGCTGGCCTCGAACCCACAGAGATCCGCCTGGCTCTGCCTCTCGGGTGCTAGGATTAAAGGCGTGCGCCACCACCATCGGCTCTTTTCCAATTCTGTCACCCAGTTTGTAAGCCATATTTTGCTCAAATGAACCCTGAAATGTTAATGTGCCTGTGTTCATCTTTTAATGGTTCCAAGCTCAGCCCAGGACGCTTGTGTATGCCCATGACCATGGAGGGGAGAGCCTGGCATTTTACCCTGGCATTTACCCTGGCCACGCTGTTGAATTGCACAGTTGTTGTTGGTTTGCACAACATCCTTCGGTTGGCATCCCATCTCTAAGGGCTCCTGGTTCCCCTGCACCTTTGGGGACTGTGGAAACTCTTCCTGACTTCCCTGGAGGCGGAATTACAAGCCCCACACTGTCACTTGTGGGCAGCTCCTCTGCTGGGCTCTGCCAGCAGAACTGTGCAAATCTCACGCAGGAAACGGCAGACCTCCTTTTCTCCTATGCCTCCGACAGGGATCAGGGAGCACAGTTGCCCCGCACTGAAACTCAGCAGGGAGCGCATGGGCAGGGAATGCTCCTTAGAAACATTCATCTATCTGTCTTCTCATCAGGGTAGAAACCTGGCTTTTCCATTGTCCCCCACCCAAATCTGCCTCCTGATGGTGTCATTTTGACTCTTGGTTCTCAAAATCCAAGCTATTAAAAAAAAAGAAAGAAAAAGCCTTCTCCTGAACTTAATTTTCTCTCCCAGGAAATTCAAAGGTCTCTATTGAAACCGATCAGAGGGGGGTGCCTTCTCTTCTCTGCCCTGAGGGCAGTCATTCTGAAGCACTGCTGCTGCCTGGTGAGGGGGGAAAGGTGGCAGGGTATTCCCAGAACACTAATGATTGTCAAAAAAATTTCACCAGGCGTGATGGTGCATGCCTTGAATCCCAGCACTCAGAGGCAGAAACAGGCCTCTGAGTTCAAGGCCAGCCTGGTCTACATAGTGAGTTCTAGGACAGCCTGAGCTAAGGAGAGAGACCCAGTTTCAAAAAACAAAACAAAACAAAAAGGGTTGTTATTTAAACCAGGCGGTGGTGGCGCACACCTTTAATCCCAGCACTCAGGAAGCAGAGGCAGGCAATCTCTGAGTTCGAAGCCAGCCCGGTCTACAGAGTGAGTTCCATGATAGCCAGGGCTACACAGAGAAACCCTGTCTCAAAAAAAGAAAGAAAGGCCGGGCGGTGGTGGCGCACGCCTTTAATCCCAGCACTCGGGAGGCAGAGCCAGGCGGATCTCTGTGAGTTCGAGGCCAGCCTGGGCTACCAAGTGAGTTCCAGGAAAGGCGCAAAGCTACACAGAGAAACCCTGTCTCGAAAAACAAAAAACAAAAAAAAAAAAAAGAAATTTCACAGCAGGACTGAGGAGATGGCTTGCTGCTTGAGCATGGGGACCTGAGTTCACACACACTCGAGGCAACACAAGCCGGTTAGGGATTGTAATCCAGTGCCGCCGGGGAGGTGGGGATGGCAGGTCCCTGGGGCTTGCTGGCAGGCCACCTCAGTCTACTCAGTGGGCAAGTGAGAGACCTTGTCTCAGAAAACAAGATGGATGGCTCATGAGGAACAACACCCGGGACTGTCTCCTGGCCTCCATATGTGCACCACACACACATGAACACACACACACACATGAACACACACAGTATGTTTTCACATTAATATCTTGCCATAACCTCCCCACTTTTTATGTATTTCTTAAGCTTTGGGGCTGTGTTTCATACTAGTTAGCTCTATCAGAATACCATGAAGAGCCCTTAAACCCAGTGCATCTGAAAAGTCCGTCCTCCCACTCCCTGTCTCTGGAATGGCATTCTTACGTATTCATTTCCCAAGGATACGGTGAGTAACTTCAATCCATACTCCCTGCCTCCCTCTCTTCTGTCCTCCACCAGTTTACCCTACAATAGAAATTGAACCTGAGTGCTGGAGCGCTCTCTCTCTCTCTCTCTCTCTCTCTCTCTCTCTCTCTCTCTCTCTCTTCTCTTTCCTCTCTCCTTCTACCTCCATCTTACTGAGTTCCATAGCTAATGTCAGTTTGTTACTGGTTCTATTTTGTTTTTTGGGTTTTTTTTTAGTGTGTGTGTGTGTGTGTGTGTGTGTGTGTGTGTGTGTGTGTGTGCACCTGTATACCAGTGCCTGTCAGATCCCCTACAGCTTGGGTTACAGGCTGTTGTGAGGCACCAACATGGCTTGAGTCCTCTGCGAGAGCAGCAAAGACTCTTAGCCCTGGAGCCAACACCCCAACCTTCTGATGCCTTTTTTTTTTTCTGAGACAGGGTTTCTCTGTGGAGCCCTGGCTGTCCTGGAACTCTCCCTGCAGACGGGGCTGGCCTGGACCTCACAGAGATCCACCCAAGTCCTGGGGTTAAAGGCGTGTACCACCACTCCCTGGCTTTTGGTCTCATCGTGGAACACAAATGTTACAATGTCTCGGTGTTCTCTGAGGCCCCTTTCCCACCGGGGAGACACTGAATCGGCTCACCCTGACTTCCAGGGGCAAGGGCCAGCTGTACATATTTGCTCTCCGGTTGCAGATGGGGTGAAAGGCTGTACTCTGAAGTTTGTGCATGGAGTGTGTTTGCAGTAACAGGCAACCCTACAGACCATGGCAACGTCCCCCACAGAGTACCAGCAACTAAACGAATTAGCAGCATGTGTTTGGGACGAGCTCCAGGAGAGGACCGGGAAGAGTAAGCAGGGCAAAGGGCTACCGTGGTGCAAAGATTCTGGGATACGGACCCTGTACTCTTGAGTTGGGGTTCTCAATTAGGACATGAAGAGCCATCTGGAGCGTACCTCAGAATTGTCCTTCCCAGGAAGAGTGTTTGCCGGCTAGTTTCCATCTTTGATGGACTAGGGTGTGAACTCCCTACCATTTCCAATTTTGCTCATGTGGAGAATGGCCGAGTAGACAACTGCAAGCATCTTGAATAGCAGAGGCGATGAGGCCCAAGAGCACAGAGAGAGAGCTGTGCTGAGCCCTGGAAGTGAATAGCTTCCAGATTAATCCTCCACATAGCTGATGCCTGCAGCAAGGACCTCAGGAAGCTGACTGAGAGCACACAGCGGAGAGAAAGAGGAATCCGATACACCCAGGTCTGCCCCGAATTAGTCCAGTCGGTCACAAAGCCTATGAGGTCATGGACAGCTTTTATCCCTTCAGAACTCAGTAGGCTAGGGTTCAGGGGATGAGCTGTTGTATCCCCCATATAAACTGGTCTCAGGGCAACGCTGATACACTTCATCTCCCTTCTAGCCTACCCATTCCAAATGTCACCGCCCTTGGCCAGCATTCAGCAGATCTGGGCTGTTGCCTATTAGTGACTCAGGTTTTCATCCCCAGAGGGGATGAATCATTAATTATACTTGCTGCCTTCAGTGTTCATTTACAGTTAGCAGTGGACATGCAGGTACTGAGATATGTAACCAGGGCACCCTGCCCCCGAGTTCAACACCTATTCTGCTGGCCTTCGTTAGTGGCCCAACCGTTGCCCCTCAGGGGAGCCATCGTCAGCTCTATCTGTATGGCAAACGCCCGCAGTAACCGTAAAGAGAAAAGCTGTGCTTTGATTCCTGGTGTGGATGTTTCTGCCCATGACTGGATGGGTCTATGGTTTGGGCCTGTGTTAAGCGCATGTGTTGGGAAGGCTGGTGGAGCTGATCTACTCAACTCGTGGTTAGAAAGGGAAAGAAAGAAAGAGGTAGGTGTCCCACAGTCCCCATCAGGAGCTCATCCCTAGAGATCTAAAGACCACCACTAGATCCCACCTCCCCAAAACTCCTCCACATCCCAGTAGTGACATGCTAGGGACCAAGCCCAGGGGATAGAGACCCAGCCTTACCACATACTCCCGTGGGAGAAGACGACCCAGGGTACAGTATAGGACTGGTAACATGGTAACTTTTTGTGTTTTCCCTTGAGACAAGGTCTCAGGTTTCCCAGACTGGCCCACAACTCCCTGGGTAGCTGAAGATAATTTTCAACTTCTAATTCCCCTATCTCCACCCCTGAGTGCTATGATCACAGGTGAGTACCATTACACCCAGTTTATGCTGTTCGAGGAACTGAACCCAAGACTTCACGCACGTTGGGCAAGCGTCCTGTCCTACCAGTTGAGCTGTGTCCCTTGATCCAGTAACTCCTTGTGTGCTAGTGCACAGCATGGGGAGCTTAAGTGTCTGGGGAGATAGTCATAGCTTCAAGCACAGCAGAACCCCCACTGCCTCTCCTGGAAGACACACCCTCGCTACTCCACACCAGGAGCTAAGATTTCTAGCCCAGCACTGCCTGACTGTTGCGGTAACAGGAAACACGGTCTGTGAGTGGGTCAATCACCAACTCATCGTGACCAGTCCAGCTGGGAGTAGTTCCTACCTACCAGGACCACCACACCATTGTTCAGCTAACTTATCTCCCGGTAGGGTTGTCCACAACTCTCTGCTCCTCCAGAATCCGTCATTTTCTTAATCTTTTTTGGGGGGTGGGAGGTTCAAGATAGGGTTTCTCTGTGTAGCCCTGTCTGTTCTGAAACTCACTCTGTAAACCAGGCTAGCCTCGAACTGAGAGATTCGCCTCCCAAGAGCTGGAATTGAAGTTATGTGTCACTACCACCCAGCATTTTTTTTTTTTTTTTTTTTTTGGTTTTTTCAAGACAGGGTTTCTCTGTGTAGCTTTGCGCCTTTCCTGGTACTCGCTTTGGAGACCAGGCTGGCCTCGAACTCACAGAGATCCACCTGCCTCTGCCTCCCGAGTGCTGGGATTAAAGGCGTGCGCCACCACCGCCCGGCGCATTTTTCTTTTTTGTTATTTTGTCTTTTTTTTTTTTTTTTCAGAGCTGAGGACCAAACCCAGGGCCTTGGCAAGCGCTCTACCACTGAGCTAAATCCCCAATCCCAGCATTTTTCTTAATCTTTAAAAAGTGTAGGGCTGGAGAGATGGCTCAGAGGTTAAGAGCACCAACTGCTCTTCCAGAGGTCCTGAGTTCAATTCCCAGCACCCTCATGGTGGCTCACAACCATCTGTAATGAGATCTGGCACCCTCTTCTGTGTCCATAATAAATAAATAAATCTTTAAAAAAATAACAATGTATTTATTATTATGGAGAGGGAGT